ACCCAACCTCAGACGACTCCGACTCCTAGTGTCCCCTTGCCGCCTTTTATTCAGTGACAAACAGTTTCACAAACACTCATCGTAAAACCCCTGTGTTTCTGTATATATCTATGTCACTGTGTGTGTGTGTGTGTGTGTGTGTGTGTGTGTGTGTGTGTGTGTGTGTGTGTGTGTGTGTGTCTTTTTTGGAAGTCTGCAGAAAATTTAATGAACCACATACTGGTTAAGGAGTCAATGTGTGTGTGTGTGTGTGCGTAGGTGTGTGTGTGTTGGAAGAAGAAGAAGAGGAGGAGGGGGTACTTTTCTTTTTTCTTTTTTTTCTTTTTAAAGCAAATACCGATGAAGTCTAGCGTACAGGGGCAGAAAGGAGGGTTTGGAGGGTGAAGTGACTCTGAGGAGGGGGAGGAGCACCCCTATACCACCACCACCCTCCTCCTCCTCCTTCTCCAACACCACAACCACTCACTCCTGCTGAGTAAACTCAAAAGTTGAAAGACAGAGAGAGAATGCCTCTCACAGTCTGCACTGTACCAATGAAGCCATTCAGCGGCCTGTCACCTCGTGATGGCACAAAGTGCAGCCAGCGTCGGGATGCAGTAGCTGTGTGTGTGTGGGGGGGGGCTTCTGAGGCCTCTGTGGTTGAGCGGAAAAATGTTTGCACTGGAATTTAGCTGCTGTGGATGAAGGATAGCTGCTGCTTGCTCCCTTAAGTGCCGTGTAAACCCCTGAACTGCTGCAGGGAGCGTCAGACAACACTTTGCAGACGTACTGATGAGCACTTGGCCATCAAATCTTTGAATATGTGCCTTCAATCACTTCAGTTAGTTGATTGTAATCCAGATTATAATCCAGAAAGTGTACAGAACCTCCAGAAGATGAATGCGTGGATGCTTGGCTGTTGGTGGTAGATCGGCAGAAGAAAAATAAATAATGAAAAAGCAATTTAGGCTGACAATCTGACTCCATTTAGGCTACAATTTTTAGAATAGCCATGGGAATTGGGACATGGGAAAAAAAAATAGGTGTCCAATTCATCTTTATGTTTATTATGCCTTTTGTCCCCCCCGATCTGCACTGAAAAAAAACAAGTGCAGGGAGTTCCAGGGAAAGGCTGTATTGTGAGTGTTAATAAATCAATACTTCAATACATGTCACATTTTCTAAAATGACAATATTTCAAAAATGTTGTTTTTCGCTGTTACAGCATATGATATGTAATAACAGTATGCTGATCAAACAGGCACTAGACATCTCTTTTGGAAAGTTATGTGGATTAGAAAACTCAATTCCAAGGCTGTGGAGGCACCAATAAAAAGAGTCAAGAGGAATCTGGCGATATTAGCTAATCGACACAAAACAATTACTTGATTTTATTTTATTTTTAAAAGCAGATGAAAATACAAAAGTGAGCTAAATGATTATATTAAAGGATTATGAAAAATAGTTGAGAACGACACCCATATATTCAGAGTGTGTGTGTGTTTTTGCTCCTGTTTTCACTGAGCTGGCCTCAGACTGTCATTTCAGTCTGTAACTGCATCTTTGGGCCTTTTTCATCTTCTTCTTCTTCTTTTCTCTCTCTCCTCCGCCTCCCTTCATTTTCTTTTGAAAAACTTAAACATTACTGGCAGAGGAGCAGAAGCATGTGCACGCCTGAGCGTCGTGGACATGGTAGTGAGAGAGTCTGTGTGCGAGAGCGGGAGTCGATCTTGATGAGTTGGTCATGAAAGGCCTGTTAACTCCTGCCTGCCTGTTGCTTTATTACCGTTCGAGTTTGTAGCGAGCCAAAATGAGCCTCGGGCTACCGGGAAATGTCCTCCAGGCTCCTGACAGGCAGTCCGTCACCAGCTGCAGCTCTTTTCCCTGACTGATGAACTAAATGTAAATAGAAAACCGTGAGTCATGTTGTCCCTGCTCAGCTTTGCAAAGTTGTTTTTCAGACATTAATTTTGGACCGAGTCAGGGTGAGATGGTTTCAGTTCAAGTTCAAATTTTTAAATTGAACTTTAGGCCCAAGAACCTAAAATTTAAGAGCTGAAGCTAAAACCTAATCTGCTGCAGACAACATCCTTCCTTCTAAAACTTTTATTTCTTGTTGATCTCATTGACCAAAGGGTGTTTTAAACCATCTTGGCTTGAGCTGAACTAAACAGTGATTAGATTTAAGCTTTTAGGGAGAGGTGAAAGCACACTACTGTAGGTGCGCTAAGGTGCACAAAAAAGATTGAATCTTTAAAGAGAAAATTGATTTGATTGATTGATTTTCATTATGATTGGAAGACAAATCTAAGTGAAATTTTAATATTTGAATAATCGACCAGTCTGAGCGTAAAGCAGGAAATACTCAGCTTCAGATGCATTCACACTCCATGTGCTTTAGGTGAGTGATCTGCCTGAACAGAGCGTGGAGGAGGCAGCACGCATGATGCTCTGTAAGGTTCTGGAGAAGCTCGGTTTGAAACCAGCTTTTAGTTATCCTGCTAAAATCTTCTCTGAGCACGCCTTAAAACCTGAAGCGACCCATAGAGTCCCATAACTGACAACTTAAGATTACTTTCTGTTTTAATTTGTTTTCACTTCAGGCTGTGGTGTCTCAGGATTTTTGTCCATTCTGAGTCTTTAATGGGTTTTTTTTATGCCATTTCTACTTATATATTTTCTTTGAGTTCTTCTGCTTATCATATCGACATGGCTGTTATGGTTTTATTTCTCCCTCTTTTTCAAGCTGTGTGGTGTGCTTTTTAAAAAAAGGGTTTTGACTTGAAATTTGAGGGATCAAAAAGATCAGGAAACTCACAATTCTGTCTTCACGTCTGTCACGGCCATTGTGCTTTTTTAAAAATATAGAAAACGTGATATCATCAGTTTCATTATCAGTTTCTCTTTCTCTTTTAAAAGACAAAAAAACATAATTTTTAAATATTCACATTATTGAGGGGATGATAAGTGCGATCACACACCTCTTACAGAGCAAGATGTGTGTTTGTGTGTTAGTATAGGTTTGTATGCAGGGATTAAATATATAACGACTGATTTTCACCATCACAAAAAAAATGCTGTAAAATAATTAATTTGGTTTGTTTTATTTCAATTTGCTGAACCCGAAGTTAATGATTATGATTTAGAAAATAAAACATAATGAAATGTGTAGCTCAAAGCTGACATGTGGACCAAGTGAGAAATATCTGATATTGTATTAATGAAATCTGTTAGACACTCTGATTTGGTGATGATGAGACTCACTGTGAGACCCGCAGCACACAGACAGACGGGGTGGGGAGGTGTGCTGAGGACTAAAATGTGCAGGGATGAATTGATGAGACTTTAATGGGCGTTTAGAGCGGCAGTAAAAGGCGGCGTGCAACCGCCATCTTTCACAGTCAGCCTGCACTTCAGACGGAGGGGAAAGTGTGCGAGCGAAAGAGAGAGATGGCCGCTTACATTCATGTGTAGAGCCCTTCACCCAATCCCGTCTCCTTTGCTTCTGGCATGGCGGGCGGCGCAGGACAATCCCCGCTTGTTTTAACACTTGTTGTTTCTCTCCCCTCGAGGCGTCCCGTTCAATTCTGACTCAAGTGCGTGAGGTTAAAGAGGCTCACATCATATCCGGGCTGGGCTTCGTCCTCTTTACACTAGAGCGGGTACGAGTGGCC